TCACACTGCTCAATCTTTCCAATTTAATTTCTCATTTTATTGTTAATTGCCTGTGGCTCTTCGAGAGTTATTGCCTGTTCTGAGCTCGGGTAAAGGAGGAGGGTTGGGTGTGGGTTCGACAACCACATCCCGTAGATAACAATCATGCTAGAAACTCCAACAAGACTAAACAAACTACACTATTATAATTGCCGTGGTAGATGAAGGAACAATTATTGTTATTCATTAGAAGTAATTTTCAAACACTGATCATTATCACTTCTTTGAACTCCGATCATATGCTAACGTGAAAGGTATTTCATTTTTAATGGGAAAAGAAACAGTAGATCATTAACTTTAATTAAATAGCACGGCGGACCACTCTTTCACTCACTCAATCATAAACAAAATGAAAACTGTTCATGAATGAGTGGATCGCCCAAGAATAAACAATATAAAAACTGCCCTCAAACGCCCTGGTACGGCTGACAGTGAGGAGAGTCCGCTCTCCCCCTCCAAATGCTCTTATGTGTCCACTTGTATACAACAACTGCCTTCTCTCAACATGAATGTTGTTTACGAAAGTGAGAGGACGAAAAGGGAATTTCCGGTGCTCTAACCGGGTTGGTGGACACAGAGAGTCCACCTAGGGGAGTTGGAAAACCCTGTTTACAAACCAATGGTCCACATGGGCTCCAGTATCCTGAAGAAACAGATGGCCTATGAACCAATCCTTGGTCACCAGTTACCGTGGGACTACATATTCTGACGTTGCTCCACTGCCTTGTGGATTAGATCTTTAGGTCAAAAGCTCCGGGTGTGACCACCCGAGAAAACCATCTATATCGGTCAGGGCACCCGGGCAGTATCACAGCCCTCACACAAACCAAATGACTACTACTGGAAAAATTATTCTCGCTTCAGTTCGCATTCAGACAGATCCCATTCACAATCATTTGATAACATTAGCTTATATTTCTTTCATACTACGCACTTATATACTTCTCTTTATTCTCATTCTGCATATTTTACTTTTCAACTTATACAGTAGCTCGCCTATGGTAGAAAACCTGTTCTATCTAAACGATCTCGAGTCACTGACTGGTCGAGAATTGAATGCTACCGCCGAATACGAATACTGAAAGTTTTTCTGAAATCATGTGCACCATTCAAACTGGCTTCCTTCAACGTTCGCACACTTATTCAGATCGGACAACAGATAGAGCTGGCTATGTCTTTAGAAAGTCTTAATACCGATGTTTGTTGTCCAGCTGAGACCCGTATTCAAGACTGGCGAAGTACTACAAATCAGCTCTCCATAAGGCTTGCTTTACGTGCGTTTATCCGGGGACCCTGTGGCATCTTCGTCTGGTCTTGCTGGCGTTGGTGTCGCACTAAGCGCTAGAGCTGAGGCAACAGTAATTGATTGGATTCCCATTAACAGTCGGTTATGTGCTGTTAGAGGAGAAGGTTCCATCAAAGTGAGAAGAAATCGGTGTGAGAAACTGTTTTTTTTGACGTCGCCTATGTTCCGACAGATTGCAACCCGAATGCGATCAAGGATGAGTTTTACCACCAGTTATCTGCTCTTCTCCAGAAAGTGCGTTCGACAGATATTGTAGTGCTAACCAGAGACTTGAATGCTCAGGTCGGGCGTCTAGCCACAGAAGAGAATCATTCAGGTGGCCGACAGGGACTTGTTGGTCGCAGGACAGATAACGGGGACCGTCTATTGCAGCTGTGCGCAGACCACAACATATTTCTGACTAGCACTAACTACTGGTACAGTCATCGTCGATGTGCCACCTGGCGTCCTCCCTCTGCATCTCAAGCCTAGACTCAGATTGATCACATCATGATCAGCTACCGCTGGCGTGGTTGTGTACAAGACTGCCGCTCCTTTTGGAGTACCTATCTGGACTCTGATCATCCACTTGTTTGCGTTAATCTTATCTTACTTTTTAGTGGCCAACAAATTCATCGTCCTAAACGAATTGAGGTCAGTAAATTGGTTGCAACTAAATATCAAACCGAGCTAGGTTAGCTAATATTCCACAGAAAAGTATAGATGAGCATTGGTTGCAATTGCCGACGCCATGAAAATGGCGAGTAGTCACATGCGTCTTCGCGAAACGTCTCACTTATAAGCACTTCTCGACTTTGAGTATGCGGATGATATTATCTTACTGCGCGATAATGACCAAGTCAAGCAATCCGCACTTAATCAGTTGGCAATTAGCGTTCGTAGGTATGGCATGTGCTTCGCACCTCCTAAGTGCAAAGTACTTTTACAAGACTGGCAGGACCCTGATCCTGCACTCACCCTGGGCAGTAAGCAGATAGAAGTAGTCGAGAAGTTCATGTAGCTGCATAAGTGCTGGCGTGAGTGGTGAGATCAATTAACGTTTAGTGAAAGCCAGAGCGGCTTATGCCAATCTGGGCCACCATTGGCGCCGTTGTGATGTTAGTCTGGCTGTAAAAGGTCGGATCTACAATGCGTCGGTGAGAGTAGTTTTGCCCTATGCTCGTGAAGCCTGTCCTTTTCGAGTTCAGGATGTTAGACGACTCTGTGTTTGATTATCATTGTCTCCAAAGGATTGCAGACATCCAGTGGCAACACCACGCTGGTATTGCGGAGGTTCAGCATCGCGTGCTCGGGCACAGAGAAGATAATTCAATTGGTGCCACTATCTTGAAACACCGACTTCAGTGGCTTGGACATATTCTACGAAGGTCGTCCCAGAAAATTCCACGTTGTGCATTATTTGCCGACGCTGGGACTGGTTGGAAAAAGCGGAGAGATGTCAGTGTATGACATTGTCGTGGTATGAAAGAAAGCTGCACAGACTGGCATCTGTTGATCCTTCACGACTACCTGGTTGCTGTCCTAGAGATGGTGTAACACAGTCGCTAGAGACGTTACCAGATATGGCTTGAAATAAAGCCATTGACGATGTTGCTGTTATCTTCTTTTACTTTCTTCATAAAAAAGACGTAACCTCTTTAAGTGAAAGAGTCCTTTGGGGCTGTACTTTTGCTCATTGAACTGTCCCTCCCACTATTGGTATTTTACTATCATACACTAATTTCTGTTCATTGTTGTACTTCTTATACGCACCTTACATTCTTTATCTCTTCCCATTCTCATTATTATTGTGTGGCGTATATATATCTGATGCCCCTTTGTACCAATATTAATGTGTTCAAATAAATATATAAGAGTAGCAAAGTTAGTGATAGTATCAATGGTTGCAGAAGAAACAAAACATAAACAATGTAAGTGGAGAAAAGGGATAATTTTAAAGCTCATGAGGATGTAGGGAGCGAATAAAGAATTCTGGACAATGCCACTCAATGTCTCCAACAGTTGTCTACAATGATCATACAGGCCAGGTAGCCTGTACCTACCTACATGGCTCAGTCCAGTTGTCAATGACTTTATGGACTGGTGTCATATCTTGACTTGGTCACTTTTAACTTCCTTCCAACCTACTCCTACACTGGAAGACGTCATTTGTCGAGGTGAGCGGTGGTTGAAGATACGTAAAATGTCTCAACTACCTCAGCTGATGACGATTTACTACCTCATCAGCCTATTGTCATATCTACCTAGCACGCTATGCCTAGCCTCGGCATTACTCACTCGGTAGTCTCAAAATACGCGAGAGAAAACCTATTGATAGGCTTTATGGAAGAAATTCGATTACTGGTGTTAGCTCTAAAACTCTATCAAACAACCTTAAACTACTAACAAGTAGTTCGATACTTGTGCATAAAATACTAGGTATGCAAAAGTTGGGAATAGTCACTAATGTGAAATAACCACAATCTACGAGGCAACTTGATATTCGGGATTTTCAAAATACTTTAGGGTAAAGTAATTTTGAAACACTCATTCGAAATAGGAACTTACACGGCCACTATCTCGGATCAGTCTTACCTTACTGGGTTGTGTTTATTCAACTATCATTCAAAGATTTTGTAATGCTGATGACATGGGCATAATAAAAAAGAGCTTGGCAAAAATTTCTGTCGGCTAAACTTGGCATACCAGGATGAAAAACTTAAGAGGTTAAAAAAATGTAGCAGAAGTGCTGATATGTGACTACTGTATCCCAACAACCAGCCTGGACATCCACCACTTATTTTCAGTTCACAACTAGGTCTCGAGGTTATATTAGTCACCAGACGTAGCCTCCCGAGTTGATTTTGTTCCAGACAGTTACACAGGTGTGGCACTGGGACGGTGTGGCAACAATAGGAAATGGAGGGAGGATAAGGTGACTAAAGAGCCTGACTTTTATGACTTATACGGATGTTTTGAACAATGAAGATTAACATTTTGTCACAAACAGGCAGCATTTCTAAGAGATAGGATTGATAAATCCAAAGACCTAGACATCAGTTCCGGTATTTTCTGGACAGAATAGGTACTACACTACACGAAAATTCAAACGACAAGGGAAAGGTCTCAATACTTAAGACTCCACATTTGCACCAACAGAAACCAACAAACTAACATCCGCAATGTCACGCCAAAATTAGCAAGAACCCTAGATACATAATAACTCAGATACAACAAGTGATATATGAAGCTCCTGATTTTGTCCGTCAAAATTCAATCCTAAATTCTCCTAAATCATCAAAGAAAAGTGAATAGGCTAAGAAACGATTATATCATTTTATTTTTAACACATACCCACTTTAGTGGTCGAGTCACACTACAATTCAAAACTTGTAGAACCACTACAAAATCTCACTTAAACCTCCAGCTACTATCTAAATTGAGAACACTTTTAAGTAGTTATAGAAGTGAAGCTATAATGTATGGACGACATTGAACGACGCTAAAGTGACTTTGGGAATGTCCACTTACTAGGGCCAAATGATGGTTATAAAACAGTATGAAAAGTAAGAATTATGATTTACATTTGATATCAGCTAAAATGACAGGACACTATTTAGACAATTGGATGAATGAATCACACCGAAATCCGAGACCTGTCATCCTAAATTTGACTGGTTTGTCCATAAATTATAGTCTCGCCGTTATAGATACTGAGTTAGTTTATTATGCTGGGAAAAATTTAAGATAGCTCGGACAAGTAAAGTTATCCAAGTTGGCGATATACTACATAAACTCAAACTATTAAAGCCATGCAATACATTTATGGCCTTACAACTACAATAATCTATAACTAAACAATGTCATCAAATTTCCATGTTTGAGGTTTTTGAAAAAACCATATATTCTTATATATTTTTATGAACAGCAGTTTTGTCGACCAGTGACCAATCGCTTGAATGAAACCGCATAAGCCAGAAGATGATAAGAACTAGCAATTAGAAGAAAGTATTGTGATATATTTATTGAGTATTTTTGCTTTTCGATTCTTTGAAAGGAACATCTGAAGGCCCATACTAAAAAGGATGTTAAGAGGAAAACCATTTACCTTGTCCCATAATGTCTTAAGATCCCTTTTCATAGCGTAGGCATCCTCACCATCGGCGTAATATTTAGGTTCTATATCTGATACTCTGGAAAGATTGCTCAGAAACAAAGTAGGAATTACACAAAGTGTAGAGTTTTTTTGTAGAGAGTAAGTGCAGCCCTATTACTCTTCCGAACGTGAAGAGAGACATATCTAGCGTGAAAATTTTCTACCATAGCTCTTGATGCCAGATTCATCAGCGTTTGAGCAATCCCTAATCGCCGATATGGCCGTTTGACTGCCAAAGAAGTAATATGTCCATAAGGGACGTCTTCTGGATCTTCTTCCCTATCCAAAGTTAATGTACAACGACTTCTTACATTTTTGCCAAGACATAGCCCACAATCTCCCCACTATCTGTTTCTGCTACATATGATAATTGTGGCCAAGATAAACCATGATAAAAATAGTACTTCATTTGATAGTTTTCCGGCAAGCAATCTAGATTGCAATCTCTCATGTTTAGCAAGTCGGTTGGCTAGGGGATAAATATAAATTGAAATTACATCCTACTCTAGCATTCCTAACATTCATCTTCACGAAGTAACGTGACCTACAAATCAAGAACAGCGGCACTATAAGGCCTTACAGGTGCTATCAACTAAGTAGAAATATTAGTCTTTATTCACATTAAATGTATCATCTTATCTTCAGCTTAAATGTGTTCTTAAGAAACACAAAGTATCATATTTGTTAACTGTTACGATACGATGAGTCAGTGTAGACAATAATGTGACTTCTACATACGATCGTGTAGATTAGGTAGTCACATGATGACAAATATACGCTTTTGGGAATAGGTCTATTATTATACTAATACCAATAACGAAGCAGACCATAGTTCAACAACTTAGCGAATGTGAGAGCATCTTGCTAAACAGTGTTGCGGAGATTGAAGCCTGTCCCCTTGGTACAACAGAATGGAACACATCTGGGTCGGGAGGAGAGTCCCTGTCTATAAGTTTCGGTTTTCGATGCGCCAAGTTATCGCTCAGGTTCACTTCTGAGTGTCCTGTCGAGTTTTAGGTGAAACTCTCGTCGATATGGTAAGTATTGAATGGTTGGAATGTTTCAAAACACTGTTCTTCCAGGAGCTCAGCAGTGTCACAATAGTTGTTGGCTGGACCATTAGGATCCAGCAGTTGGAGAACTCTGGTTTTGGCATGCCAAAGGAGGGGGGCTGCAAGACGAAACAAACTCTTCGGATTAGAGACCAATTTACTGACTAGCTTGACATAAAACTGAAGTCTTTCTTCACTAAGCGTCTTCATGAATTGATTTCTTGCTTGCTTGAAATACTTTTATGCGTTGCTTTAACTGGCTCGTTTGTGTTCCTTACAGTAGTACCTCCTAAGTTTCAGCATTCGGAAATTACCACTCCTCCTTATAACCATACGTTCATTGTAACTTTTGAGGACCGTTTGTAGGACAGATTGCTTTTTAGCACGTAAGATCGTGTTCAGTTAAAATGTCTAGTGAGCGTCCACATCAAGCTAAGGGTAGACTTCTCAACAGACGTTCTGTACGTTTTTCCACAAAGCTGACATTGTAACATGTGAAATTTCAGTGCATGTTTCTAGTAGAATGTTTTAACTTGATCTTGACGATAAAATTAAAGGCTACGACGACATGATCACGTCTTTCCATGGGTGGGGCGGGATTGAGAGGTTGTTAACTAGGAACTCTTCGTTCGTAAATATTTAGTCTAAGCGTGACGGCTTCCGACTGTTTCTCAAGTGAATTATTGTGTACACATTTTCGAATGATCTCAAATCTTCATTGAGGTTAAAGAACCGATCCTCAGTAGACTTGTCACCTATAATGTACGAGTGTTCAGCAAAGTTGACATTGGGTAGATGGATGCTTCCTAGAATCAGGATATGAGGGCACCTGACGCAAATAGAGCGAGATAATCTTTGTAGCATCCGACTGCGGTACTCGGTGTCAGCAGTGGGTTCCCTATGGGTGACTCCAACAAGACGTCTCGACGCGTCAGCCAATTTCACTGAGCACCATACAGACTCATGGAGACCGGATATTGCCAGCTCCTAGCTCGTAATTTACGAGGATGCCCACGTTTTAGTTAAAAGGACTATCTTCATTAGCAAGGGTCTAGGGTCCACATCCTTCTTGGCTAATCGCACCACTTGTTGAATCATTATGTTCTCAGGCTTCAGGGACTGCTTTATAAACTTCCACGCTAGGGAGTCATAGTCTTATTAGTCATGGTCCGTGTTTCCTGTAACACCCTGCACAGCGATATTTCTACGACAAAAGAACGTCTTTCTAAGTCACTTGAGGATGTTCCCGATGGGACCGCACTCAAAATATGGTATGTCAGGCAGTATTCTTAAATCCCCTTCTGATTCCAGCAAGTGACTGACCATCAGAACGCCCTTTACGTCTAAGCCATGTAACCGCCACTAGCTCGATTTCGAGAAGTTTGAGTTATCTGTTTGACTCGTATCAGATCGTCCTATCTTTTTTGTCTTGCAGGTTGAGAGGAAGATTAGAGCTGTCTTTAAAGTTAATTGTTATGAGAGAATAACCTTATAACATGACCATTTTCGCAGATGATCTTTTTATTTGACAGTCGGACTGCGTTTCGAATTCCTGCGCTCCTTGCTGATTAGTCGGAACATCATAGTGGTAGATTGCACAGCAAAATCACTAGTTGCTTTCCCTACATGACCTGGGATGTTCAGTTTTTTTCAACAGAGACACTCGATCCCTTCTAACCTTGTTGATGGAAGTCTGCTAGCCTACAGAACTTTCGAGGACCACAGTTGCATTTAGAGTGCCCGTGCTGAGGGACACAAATTTCCCGACACAGTCTAACACCGTTGATGTAATGGTAGGGCTGAGTTTCGGTATAACTCACTAGTGTGAATGCTTGTTCCGTTGATACTCATGTTGTCGAAGGTCCTCTTATTTAATTCGTTTGTTCACCTGTTTCAGGACTGTTTTCTTCCCGGGGTTTCTGACAATTTTTTTCGCAGGCCTGTTATATGAATGATGATATTGCTCAGCAATCCTCAGCGATCATGTTGCAATCGACACATACCTACCTGCTATTTGACTTACTAAGTATGTTGTAAGCAGTTACTACGCTTCATGAAAGCAACCTTTGCATTTGTCACACTGCGTGCACAGGTGACAGCAAAATGGCATCCAGGTCGCTTACATTAGTTCGTCACGATTATGGTGAAATATGAGTAGTTAGACAGATTCTAGAAGTCTACGATCGTAAAACAAAAAACGAAAAAATCAAAAGGGGGAAAGCTGATAAGACAGGCAGTAAAAAGGTTGGAATATATTAAAACTGGCCTCAAAGTGGAAAACTCGTAGGCTGGAGAGTAAACCGGAGCGAAACTAAGGTTAACTATTAAAGTAACCTGTCAAAGGTTAAGCTGCAGATAGATTATTTGGGTCAAAAATGGTACTTTTTATGCGTAAGGAAACAGCAGGAGTTTGAGGAATGCAAATCAAGTTAGGACTAATCTTCACGTTCGTAAATTCAGCGAGCTCCTGATATTTATCTGAGGAACAAGAGGAGACTGAATTCACTGCTCACATTTTCGCCTTTAAGCCAGAAAAATGAAAATTTATGTAGTTCCTTTTCTGTGTCTTCATTTCAAAACATTTTGATGTCATTAGCATTAAGTAACATTACAGACTTGATAATATGTAACACGTTTTTAACCCAACATACTCTGTTAAATGTTGATTTTCAAGGGAAAGCATTTACATAAATCGTTGTTTTTATTCTCTGACCAACTGGTAAGTTTTTTACACATCTGAATAGGTATTTAGAATCTGAATGTCTTCAGCCGCAGCAGTAACATACCGAGTAAAAAATGTCGTAGGTCTTATCTAAGTTAACGCAAACAACACGAACTGTTCCTTTAATTATCCAACAAAATATATTCGACCTTTCCCTTGATGGATAAATGTCTGTCATCCAAAAGCGATCTTTCTATAAGAGTGTTAAGTAATGTCTGACAAGCGATTAATTTCAGGATAGTTCCAGTGGCTTCATCCATAAATATCCTAACCTGAGCTAAAGGAGGTGGTTACACGTCGTTTATATTTAGGCACTGCCGTTGATATATATTTGACGTTGTCACGTCAACTAAGTGTGTTCTAGGCTGGAATAAATTGTCAAGATGTCCAAGCAGTAATGATAGAAGGCACGACAACTCGAAAGGCTTTTAAAATATATCCGCGGAGTAGCATGCTATGTTTGGCTATAAGGTCGTGAATATTTACACAAAGATAGGTTAATAAAAGGATTTCGTGCTTTAAAAAGTACTTGAATGTCTGTTGAATTATGGTCTAGTCTGATATAAGTGCATTCATCTTTGCTTTTATATTACTGGAACCAATACCAAAGTTGCAGACTTGTCATGATGTGACCAACTAATATATAAAGTCTTACATGTAGTTCACATCATTGTATTTACTGACGTGTTATGTAGTGATGATCAGCAATCTGACACTAAACTCTCTTGAAGAACACATTTGGGCTGTAAAGAGAGCAATATATTTGGTGTGAAAACCAAGAGACTACACAGAGTGACTACGTTTAGATGGCTGAGTCATGACATTTCCATTACTGTTCCCCGTTCACCATTTTTGGACCTCTCTTTAGTTTTAGACATTGAATGTAAATCTTCTCAGTAATTATATGTTCAGCTTCAAAGATCGTGTGGTTAGAAACTAATAGCACTACACTACTCTCCCACCAGACCCAACGCGACGGTGGTTCGATACCAAATGAAGTAGGGTTGGCCCGTACTGGAGGTAACCAAGATAATAACGGAAATCATCCAGATACGGATAAACCGAAAGATAACTAGAAAAGACTGTGACAATCGATCTAGAAATACATGTAATAAATTTAGACTTTTGCCACCCCCAAGTCTCTTATATTCTAGAAGGGACCCACCTACTGGCAAAGCCAAATGAAGCTGCTGAATGCTTGGCGAATTCTTACTACCAGATAGTAGCTACAAGTAGTGACTATATAAATCAGAGTAGAAATAAGAATACTGGCGAAACTACGACGCGTTAAGTTATGGGGTTTAAGTGGTAGTCAGTATTAATTCAATTATTTGTGCTACGATAATAATAGGTCTGGTCGAATATCGTAATATATATATATATATATATATATATATATATATATATATAATTTGAGAACTTATGTCGAGGTCATATCATTGTTTGAATTGAATCGTCCTATCGTGACATTCAGTAGCCTGCCATTTATGGACCTTTGAAGGACACATTTTGGCCGAAGATGGAATAATATATTTAATATCACGATCAAGAGATGATATGGAGTGACCATGTTTGAATGATCTACCTATACCATGTTCCCGCAATTACTTTACTGACATTCTCCAAGTGTTAAACATTTAATGTAAGCTTTCTCGGTTATTGTAATTTCAGCTACAGCGATTGTATTGATAGGAACAAACGGAACTACAAATTCTTCACACTATAACAGTGTACGTCAACTGTCTTGAGTATAATGCAGACATCCACAATAGGACTATAAATGCCAGTTTTTTTCAAGATGACATTAGATGCTGAACAATTCAATAGTGATAAACCCTGACAATAAAGAGTACATTTATATAAGCAGGGTAATTGTTCTAACTTCGAATTTGAAGTGAACAAATTTAAATTTAATTATGACATAAAAATAAAAAAATGGTTATAATTGATATGATGGAAAGAAAGGTCAATTTCCGATTGAATTACTCATTATGAGTTTTATTCAACATTGACATCCGTTTTGATTCAACGTGAAGATCATTCAGTGTAGTGTTTGATTTGTTTTCCCCGTTTGATATTTTCTTCTGTATAATATACGATATCCTTGTATTCACTTGACATGAAATATGGTCACAGTCTGCGATTTGTTATAACTGATTATGTGATTTAATCCTAATCATTAATCAAAATGGGTGTACAATCAATATATAAACCAGTATATTTTAGACTATACTCGATTCGTCGTCGTCGTCGTCGTCATAGTGTTTGAGGGGCTAATAAATCTTCACTTATACCAGTCTTTATGTTCTTACTTGCGCATCGTTCGTGGGAATCGCCAAGTTCCCTCGTTCCGAGTATAAATGATTAGCGTTTTTTTTGTTGCGGCACAACAATAACGACAACCGAATATAACAATAATTATATTTTTAATATATATAAAATAAATTGAATGAGTCGATCTAAAGAATGATCCATTTAAAAAGGGATACAAATCAATGATACACAAAACAAAAAAACAAAAAAGAAACGATGATAAAAATATTCACATATAAAAGTAAAATAAAATAATCATTATGAATTCAATTCGTTCAAAATATCCCTTATCAACCATAACATACATTTCATATTATGACAGATAAAAAATTGGGACCCAAGTTATACAACAATTAATACCCATTTCATTCATTCATTTCATATTAAAAAGGATGTTGTTTTGGTTCAAGATACATACAATTTGTTATAATTAATTCTTGTTCTTGTTTTAAATTTTTTGAATTTTGATAAGTAATTTTATGAATTTGATTATCAATATAATCATTATTATTGATTATTTCATGATGATTTGTATATTTTGTTTCTATTGTCATATCTAATGTATCATATTCTAATTGACTATATGGTTCATATATAGATAATTGAGATTTACTTATTGGGATATTAGTAGTTAATTGTGTTTTTTCATGTAAAAAACAATCAGGTATTTCATCATAAATTGTTGATTGATATTTTTCAGATTGTATTGGGATATTGTATCTGGGTATAAATGTTAGTTTAGTGATAGATCTTTGTGGTGTTGGTGGAGTTTGATTACATAGAATAGTTGGTTCTTTACTTAAATTTGAAGTGGTTGATTTTGTAGTAAATAGTACTTTGGAACTACATAAAAATGATAAATGGACTATATATATATTTTATATATAACAATTTTTTTATGATTCAATTTCTCTTTATTATCATTTATAACTCCGCCCCTTTCTCATCCTATAACATATAAATATTACCAGAATGGGTTTTGTGGAGATTTTTAGAAATTTCAATGGTTGAAATCATGAGTCAATTGAAGCGACACCACCATGGAAAACACGGAAGCACTGGATGGCCGTTTCACCCTAGTATAGGACTCTTCAGCAGTGCGCATCCACGATCCCGCACCCCGCGGGATTCGAACCCAGGACCTATTAGTCAATCTTAATGATCATCCTGAATATGTAGTTTCTTTTTCTTGTTTCTTATATCTTTGAACTAAACTATATTGATTGCAGTATATAAAAATTTCTATAATTATACTATTAACGTAAAGTTAAGTTGTTTGTACCTGATAATAAGCCTTTTAATATAATGAGTTTATGTTATTATGCAAATTTATTGTTCGCGCTTTATTTAGATTTATCAAGAAACTGGACTGTATGTATCGGTAATATATTAGCTAGCGGTGCGAATGTATAAAGGTTAATTGACTTTATTCTTTCCATGAATTTATTTTGCTTGATAAACTTAAGCAATAGTTGAATTCAGGAGTCAATTTAAGCTAAATCACCATAGAACACTTGAAAGCACTGGATGATTATTTCATCCTAGTACAGGACTCCTTAATAATGTTCTAGCTTAGATCAACTCATGAATTCAACTATTGGAATGACTACAATCTTCATTCTAAAAATTTAAACAAAACAAAAATCTTTCTACTTAGTTGTATATAAGTTATTGAATTTAATTATTTCAAATTATTGACATACACGGAACGTTTTTTAAAAAAATACGGTGAGACTATAATTTATGGACGACCTTTGAGCGACGCCAGACTAACCTTGACAGTGTTCACCTAATAACCAGGACCAAATAAAGGTTATAAACCTGTATGACGAATTAAAATTACGATTTACACTTAATGATTTAAGTTAGAAATTAGATTTACGATTTTCATCGTGAATTAACACAAATTATATTACCAAAACTCTATTTATCCAAATGACTGAGTGAATTTCATGTCAAAATTCGAGATTTGTTATCTTATACCTAATTGGTTCGTTCAGTCTCACGAAAAAAACAAGCAAACAAATGGATTATTCTCAGAAGGGGTTTTGTGGAGATTCTAGAAATTTCACTAGTTGAAATCATGAGTCAAATGAAGTTAGACCACCATGGAAAACTTGGAAGCACTGGACGACCGTTTCGTCCTAGTATAGGACTCCTTCCTGGCAGTGCACATCCACGACTTTGTGGATTGGTGGAAGTTAGACATTAACAACATCGTTGGATGCCGGCTCAGTGATCTAGTTGGTTAAGTGCTTGCGCGCGAAACCCGTAGGTCCTGAGGTTCAAATGGATTATTCATTAGAAAATAGTAAATGATATAGAATTATGTAATTTTAATTGCAATTTAAGTAATAACTATGTAACATTCAATAACAAACATGTAAATCATTTATATTATGTAATAATATCTATTGTCAACTGATTATGATTAGTGTATTTCAAATAGTGTACACCATTCATAATACACCTAGTTTTTTCTTTACAAAAAAACAACAACAATATTATTATTATTATTATGACTGTTTACAAATGTATTATAGATCGTATTTGTAAAATATTGTACACTTCACCATTTCTGTTTACAGTTGAATTGTTCAGTATTCTAAAATTATAGCAGTTATAGACAAGTAATACTGAAAACTTGTATTCGTATATATATATAATATACATTCACTTCTGATCAATACTCTTATATAATATAAATAAACAATTATTTTATTTTTTTTTTATTTTTGAAAAATATTATTCATTAAATTAATCCAATATCTCATTAGTAGTCAAGTGTCTTTATCGAATTTGAATTAAGTTCTAACTAAAATATAATTTTAATTCCATAGAGATAATTACACACCCACACATACACACACAAGGTAAACACGTTGTATGTATGATAGGAATGAAATAAACTAAACGAAATTGGATGATCACTTTAAGACATTTATATTCAGTCTCAAGTTAGCAAACTCAGCTTGGAGCCCCTCTAGGGCTATTGTCGGTTCTAAGCTCGGATAAAGGAAAAGGGTTGGGCATGAGGTTAGCCACACCATCCCGTAGAACACAAATTCACTATAAAAAAACGCTAACCAGAAAAAAATTATTTAGATCATTTAAACTCTGCACTGGGAGTCAGAAGGCTTTCATTTAGAAGAGTTATGATGTCTCATGTTGAAAGCTGAGTTCCTATGGAAATCACGAGGCGGATGTTCCTTCTGATAATCAGAGTAACCATTTACTTAGATACATGGAATGCTCGTATAATGTGGGAGACCAGGAGAGTCTTCCGAATTGCTGTAGAAATTGCTTCAAATTAGCAACTCGATATATTGTTGATTGAAGGGAAATAAACAATGTAAAACCATAAATGATAGTTGATTGATAGAATTTTTTATGCATTAAATTAGAAGTCAAAGTAAATGGATAAGTACATCACAAATATTTTATTTCACAGATTGAAATCATGAGTCAGTTGAAGCTAGGCCACCATTGAAAACCTGGAAGCACTGGACGGCCAACTCGTCCTAGTATGGGACTCCTCGGCAATGCGCATCCACGATCCCGCACCACACGGGGCTCGAATCCAGGACCTACTGGCTTCGCGCGCGAGCACTTAACCACTAGACCACTGAGCCGGCATCCAACGGTGTTAATGTTTAACTTCAATCAATCCACAAAGTTGCGCCACCGTACACCATTGTCTTCAGTGAGTTCCTATCTCACAACAGACCTGGTTGAACTCCACTGGTAACGGCTTCTCACTAGAACTTCAGGAGTTTTTCCTGAAGTAAGTCACTAGTGAGCAGTTGATTATTATCAGAATGGGTTTTGTGGAGAATTTTAGAAATTTCACAGATTGAAATCATGAGTCAGTGCTTCCAGGTTTTCAATGGTGGTCGAGCTTCAACTGACTCATGATTTCAATCTGTGAAATTTCTAAAATCTCCACAAAACCCATTCTGAAAATATTTTATTATTTTCATCTGATTTAATTTAGAAAAGATAGATTTTTACAGAGAAAGTATTTTGCGAGATCCCGGAAAATTTTTCAACAACATCTAGATTTAATTGATTGTGTTTACACTGTTGCTGAGAAATTTATTATTTTTGTGAAGAAATAAATATCTTAAAATTGTTATAGATCTTCTGAGAACTTAATTGAGTTTAATTCTATTTATATAGGCAGAGGAAACTAGGATGGATGGTGACTTGGCATACGCTAAACATTACTCAACTACTATAGTTTACTGACGTTCAAAATAATATATCGATTCATTTGATTTTTATTTTAGAATCTTTGCCTGAGATTTCTAACTCAGTAGCTTCAATAGTCGTTAAATGGATTAAATCAATTTCGGAAAGAATATATTTCCTTCTTCATCTTCTGTATATATTTGGAGTATAACTAAGTGAGCAACTAAGAAAAGAACACAAGCTAATGTACTTGATTTTCGGTAGCTTGAGATATATCACTTTGTTCCTGTGGTTAATTACAACATAAGAGAGCAATAGTTTGATATAGAAGTTGAAATTTGACTTTACCCTTTTCGATTTCGTGATATCCCAAAGATGCAATCACTTAAGAAGTACTGACGGGAACTCGTCGTGTAAATACCTTTTTTTGCTAAGTAAAGACTTCGTCAAAAGTATTCTGATTTTAGTAATTTAATTTTTTTATATTGTAACAACTAGTGGTCAAAACGTCACCTTCGTATTAGAAACCATAATTAAGGAGATCTTAATGTGCAGCAAAACTCCTGACTTTGCTGAGATTTACTAGACTTCAAATCCTGACAATCTGAGGTAAAAAGGCTCTCTTCAGAAAAGATTAGATTGATAGATGACTCATTACTTTTATCGTACTAGATAAATTTATCATTTTATTGTTGACCAATTTTTCATACCCTCTAATTGATTTTAGGGCTGAGTTGGTTTTCATATCTCTATGTATTTTTTTATGACTTGAAACTGATGCTTATAAAAGTCCCCTTATTTATTGTGTTTAAACTTTCGAAGTCGAAGTAATTGATAGGTCGAGTGACAATCTACAACTAGACAACAATAAAGTAAACACACATGAATACAGGCGGTTAGACTGCCAGATATGAAATGATTCACATCATAAAGTTGGTTTCATAAATAACATTGAATCTGCTCCTTTTATGTTAGAATGGTTATTGTTTAGTCACTTGGTAGACTTATAGACCCCTTCTATTTCACATTGTATGAACAAGTGTTTAAAAACTTTTCATTATGCATAAAATTTACTATTTTATCTTTTTTCTTGTCATTTAAACTTTATTATTTGTCAGTTGGCTAGGGATTAGATGATGAAGCTAAGAAGATAATTTTTCACTGAAAGTGTTTTCATTCACTGATTCGTTTTTGTGATAAGCATTCAAAGCTTTTCAGTAAACTTTAATTCTCAGTTATTGAATATCAACCATTTCTTCTGTACTACTCATTTTGAATGGTTGATAATACGACTGGAAATCAATGAGTAGTATATAAATACATATGGAAAAAACACTAGCAATGCATTATCTATTTTTTAAAAAAAATCAAGCAAACATTTATGACGTGACAAAATATTTTACCAAAATGAAGCAACCATGTTAGTTCTCGTTTAACAAATAAGTGTGTATAGCGTAAATGAAACTTAAACTTTAGAAATTCTCATTAACAATTGCATAATAGCATTGACTTACATTATAGGTTCACGATTCCAACCCATTCTATAGAAACCACATAAACGTTTTTGTCTCCAACACATATAATATAATATTCCACATGAAATAAGACACAGAACAATAAATACACTGATAAGCACATATATCCAACTGTTATTTGCTTTTTCTATTACCTAAGATGATAAAGATATTTCAGAAAAAAAATATGCGAGCGAAATAGTTATCGGGATGGGTCAATCAGAATTGAGGATGTAAGTTTTAGACTTTGTACAAAATTCAACTATCATTTATAACAAATAGATGAAATATCTTTATATATACCTTAAAATAATTAAAATGATTGTGGACAATTACTTTTTACCATAACTGAATAACAATGATGATAGTGAACAATATAAAATTTTAAGTTCTGTCTCTAGGTAACACATAAAAGATAAATAAACACTATCGTTAGATTCTGAACCTCAACACAATCATAAAACAAATCTTAACTTGATAGTACTACATATGTTAAAGGCAAACTAATTTATCCATCCATTTGTCTGTACAGAATTTTTCATTATAGCTGATATCAGTTATTGATAAAAACTCCAAACCTAAACTCTTAAACTATACTCCGAATAACTAACTTTATTCTATCAGAAAAATCTATTAGGGTCTTCACAAGGGTCTGAGAGGTTAATTTTTAGTTAAGTTTACGTCTGTTACTCCTCGTGGAGGAGCATAGGCCGACCACCAGCAGACTCCATCCAATACTGTCCCACGCAATCTTTTCCAGCTCCTTCCAGTTGTTGTTCATCCTTTCCATATCTGCTTCTATTTCCCGACCTAATATGTTCTTTGGCCTTCTCGTTTTCCGCTTCCCTTCAGTATTCCATGTTAGGGCTTGTCCCGTGATGCACTTTGATGATTCGTGTAATGTATGTCCTATCCATTTCCATCGTCTTTTCCTAATTCCCTCTTCAGCTGGAAGCTGAATGGTGTTGCTGATGGTATCCGGTCAATGGATGTTGAGTATCTTGCGTAGACAATTATTTATAAATATTTGTACCTTCTTGATGATGGTTGTAGTAGTTCTCCACGTTTGAGCTCAGTATAGTAGAACTGTCTTGACGTTCATATTGAAGATTGTGACTTTGATACTGGAAGTTGAAAACTGTTTTGAGTTCCATATATTCTTCAATTGTAGGAATGCGGCACTTTCTTTGCCAATCTTTGCCTTTACGTCTAAATCTGGTCCTCTTTGCTCATCGATGATGCTTCCCAGGTACGTGAAGGATTCCACTTCTTCCAGAGTTTCGTCATCAAGTGAAAGCCGAGTTCCTTTGAGAGGTCAGATAATTCGTATTTGTAAGGACGAATTGATGTGTGGTATTTTACAACTTAAAAGCAGACTAACATGCGAAATACATTAATAGATTCAGTAGATATGTAATATTGATTTACAATTGTAAATATTATTGTTGTTTGCTTTCCATAAATTATTGTCATTACAAAGATTGTTTACTGGTTGGCTATAAACCGGTTAAAAGTTTGTCGCTGTTTTTTTCAAGTTCGTCCTTAAACCATACTTTCGCGAGAAAAAGTAAAAGTTTAAACTAATTGAAATCATGAGTCAATTGAAGCTAAACCACCATGGATTGGTTGAAGTTAGACATTAACACTGTTGGATGCCGGCTCAGTGGTCTATTGGTTAAGTGCTGGCGAGCGATACTGATAAGCCCTGGGTTCAAATCTCTAAGGGGAGGGCAGGATCATGGACGCGCACTGCTGAAGAGTCCCATACTAGAACGAAACGTCCATTCAGTGCTTCCATGTTTCCCATGATGGTATAGCTTCAATTGACTCATGATTTCAACCATTGAAATTTCTAAAATCTCCACAAAACCCCTTCTGATAAAAATTTAAAGTCAATATCTTGTAAGAATTCAAGATTATTAGTATAGAACTTATTACTGATAAGTTTTTTAGCTAAAAGATTTTATGGTATACGTAATTGATATTCACTAATACATGCTTTTAACTTCTTTTCTTCAGTTTGGATAACAGGAATTAAAGTTATAAATTAGATAGATAAATTAAAAGGGTTTCAATAGACTTTTATAAAGTGTAAATAAATGATGAAGATAATAGGTGATTTATTTATAATCTAACATAAATCTGTCTTATAATCAGAAAACCGTCTTCATTAGGCCTCAGCATACACAAAGGGAAAATCAAGGTCCTCAAATTCAAAGCGGAAAACAGCAATCCAATCACTCTTGATGGCGAAACTCTGGAAGATGTAGAGTTCTTCACATACCTGGGAAGCATCATCGATGAACAAGGAGGATCCGATGCAGACGTAAAGGCGAGGATCGGCAAAACAAGGACAGCATTCCTTCAATTGAAGAATATATGGAACTCAAAACAACTTTCAACCAATATCAAAGTGAGAATCTTCAATACGAACGTCAAGGCAGTTCTACTATACGGAGCTCAAACTTGGAGAACTACTACAACCATCATCAAGAAGGTACAAGTATTTATAAATAACTGTCTACGCAAGATACTCAACATCCATTAGCTGGATACCATCAGTAACAGCCTTCTCTGGGAGAGAACAAACCAACTTCCAGCTGAAGAAGAAATAAGGAAAAGACGATGGAAATGGATAGGACATACATTACGCAAATCATCAAACTGCATCACGAGGCAAGCCCTAACTTGGAATCCTGAAGGGAAGCGAGAAAGAGGAAGGCCAAGAAATACATTGCATCGGATAATAGAAGCAGATATGAAAACGATGAATTACAACTGGACGGAGCTAGAAAGGATTGCCCAGGACAGGGTTGGATAGAGAATGCTGGTGAGCGGCCTATGTTCCTTCACGAGGAGTAACAGGCGTAAGTAAGTAAGTAAGTAAGTAAGTAAGTAAGTAAGTAAGTAAGTAAGTAAGTAAGTAAGTAAGTAAGTAAGTAAGTAAGTAAGTAAGTAAGTAAGTAAGTAAGTAAGTAAGTAAGTAAGTAAGTAAGTAAGTAAGTAAGTAAGTAAGTAAGTAAGTAAGTAAGTAAGTAAGTAAGTAAGTAAGTAAGTAAGTAAGTAAGTAAGTAAGTAAGTAAGTAAGTAAGTAAGTAAGTAAGTAAGTAAGTAAGTAAGTAAGTAAGTAAGTAAGTAAGTAAGTAAGTAAGTAAGTAAGTAAGTAAGTAAGTAAGTAAGTAAGTAAGTAAGTAAGTAAGTAAGTAAGTAAGTAAGTAAGTAAGTAAGTAAGTAAGTAAGTAAGTAAGTAAGTAAGTAAGTAAGTAAGTAAGTAAGTAAGTAAGTAAGTAAGTAAGTAAGTAAGTAAGTAAGTAAGTAAGTAAGTAAGTAAGTAAGTAAGTAAGTAAGTAAGTAAGTAAGTAAGTAAGTAAGTAAGTAAGTAAGTAAGTAAGTAAGTAAGTAAGTAAGTAAGTAAGTAAGTAAGTAAGTAAGTAAGTAAGTAAGTAAGTAAGTAAGTAAGTAAGTAAGTAAGTAAGTAAGTAAGATTATCGTAGGTTCGATTAAAAAAATATATACTACGTAGATTCAATGAAAAGTTATGTATTCAATTTAACTATATCTCTGGAAAATAACTTTCATTTACTAAAGTCCTTAAAATAGATAGGTTCGCCAGTTGACTCAGACTACTAGTATAACAGTTTTCTTGTAAGTACATTGTTTTCTATTCAACTATACCGAATAATATGCCATTATTTTAGTAAGTAATAATCAAGTAATAACCCAATATTTTCCAATGAGTCCAACAATATCAATGTTAGGGAACAATGAAAGCAAACTTTTTGAAAATTGCGTATATGATGAAAATTCGATAATATATCAACTACAGGTGATATATAATAGTTTCAGTTACTAACATTTTGCTAACAAAATCTATATCCATCTTTTAATGCATTTGAGTATAGACATAGTATTAGTTTACAGATGTAGCGTGGAGTCGAGTCGCGGTTGACTATGAACACCACTACAAGAAGACTACGTGCCAGTTAATCAATATGATCCTCCGTAAGCCAAATATCAAAAGGCAGTTGATGTCTGTAGTCGAGATGTATTTGTTGGCGATCACGTGGTATCGAAAGGATACCGAGGTCGTGCCAAAGGAGTACAAGCGTGGTTACCGAGCCTAACTGAACCTGTGCAAGGTCACAGTCGAAAGATAATGGAGCAGTAATATAGCTGTCTTTAGCACAGTTAAACAAACGAGCACAGTAAAACAGTCAATGGTATAATTGGTTATAATAATAATTGTTTTCATTGAACCAATCGTATTCTCGTGACAAAAGTAAGTCACTACACAAGTAATAACATATTTGTCACACATTTTTCATTTTTTTACTCTAAGATACAAATTTATTGTTAAATGTAGCAGAAAATGACACATAAATAAAACACAAAATGCAAATTATAAAAAGTTAAAATAAGAAACCGATATAACGTTCAGATGAAAGTACTTATAAAGATTATGAACCCATCAGCTTTTTTAAGGAAGTGGTATATTTTAAATTTTTAGTACTTCTTTTTTATCTAATAAATCTTAATGATTTTCTCAACACAATATAAACAGTAAACATTACTCTGTGATAACTTCAAAATGTACGATCTTCATTAACCAATTAACTTCATGATAATCTTTTACTCACTAGCCATAAGTTTTCAGAATAATCTACAGGAACTTTATTCCCGAACTATGACTGATAGAGTTTCATTTTATCAATTGTGAGACAGCTGGCATTTTGTTCGCTGAGCTGGACCAAAACATCCAGCTCAGAGAACAAAACTCCATCAAAATCATCCATCTGAGATACAAATCTTCTCCACCATTTCATAGCTATCATTTGATGATTTTATATAATGATCATACTATATCACGAATAGTGAAATATTCATTTTTGACTCTCTAGCTTAAAGTTTCCAAACTTTCCATTCTGTAGTGTGGTTGTAAGTTTCCACTATCGAGAACTCCTAAGTGAGGATTATACAACAGATTTTCAATAGTTCTTAAGCTGATATCAGTACTTGAAGTAAACTAACTACAAACAATTAAACAATTGGTATTACTCTTGCAAGATTCATATTGGAGTTTAAGATAAAATTTAATTTCATTTAAATCATAAACCGATGAAAGTTGAAATACTATTGAAAACTGGAAGCACTAGATAGACGTTTCGACTCAGTTCAGAACTCCTCAGCATTACGAATCCGCGACCCCACAAACAAAAGTTTCGGGACCGATTCCCGGCAGCGGGGTCGTGGATGATTACTGCTGAAGAGTCCCGTAATGGACCTTAACGGTCATCTACTGCCTGCAGTTTCCGATAGTTTTCTAACTTAAATCGTGGTCTCAATGTAATTCAGCAATCTCTGCAATCACGTACTGACAATAAAATTAAATGTTTTAAAAATAAATATTACTTTTCTTACTATTACGTCATCATTGTTGTTTTCTAATGAGACGGTTGATAAATTTACTCTTTTAAAATTTATAAAGTCAGGTAAACCATTTGAATTAACCATGGGTTTATAATGATCAGGCCATAAAGTTGGAGGTGTGTTACAACGTAGACCAGTCCACTGATTTTGACAAAAACAACGAAAATTTCCATAGAGATTTTCGCACATTGAATTTACATTACAAGATGATGTTATATGGTGGTTGATATTAATACTTTTGTTGCTACCATTATTATTCGGTTTCATTGAACACTCATCTATATCCAATTCACACCTGTTAACAGTATAAAAATAACATTAGTATAATACGGATTATCAAGAAACAGAGAGAGAAACAGAAAGAAGGAAAGATAACAAATAAATGCGATTGTAGGAGATTGTTAAAATTGTTGAACGCCATAGTTTAAATCATAGGGTGATCTGATTTGAGCAACTAACTAAACCAGAAAGGACTGAGCAACTTTCCCGTCCTAGCACGTGAGTGCCCAGTAGTGTGGACCCACGACCCAATCAGAGGTCCAACCCAGGATCTTCAGGATTCGTCGTAAACGTTTAACCTTTAGACCATCGATCCAGTATCTCATGGTCTACATCGCTACCATCAACCGATCGGTGACACTCTGCAGCCATCTCCTGCGAGATTAGTGGGTAAATGTTTCACACTCAAAATGTTTGGACACCTTAGATTACGGTCTGTCATTAGAACTCCATAAATTGCCTCTACAAATTAGTCACCGATAAGCACATGATATCGTAACAACCTATCATGAGTATATTAGGCGAGCTTAAGTAGTATAGACGATAATATTCCTGAAGGTTTTCTAAATTGATGCTTGATAGTTGAAAGCGATCGTTAGGGAACCTTGAGTCTATAAGTGAGATAGTCATCACTCTTCACCAGGCTTTGTCGACAAGTTTGATGAACTTGATGTCATTCACGAGACTCACACTTTCTTAATTCGCTGCTGTTGCCAAAACCGCTGCCATTGAGCTTTTTTAGAACACAACTGGTCTTGTCTAGGATTAAGATATTTACACCTACTGATCACTGAGTAATTACCAAGGTTGTATTTATCTAGTCTACAGTGCTGTTCTAGTTCCATGGATTGAGTTGCACTCTTGGCTCCGAACTAAAGGAGTTGAAAAAGCGTGGTACTTTTCACATGATGTCATTTGATTAAGAACACTAACAGGAAGCCCTGGGACTAGATATTGTACCAATCAGTACATACTAGCAAGGTGGACATGGGGTCTTTTTAAATTTGCAAACCAGTACTTGAGTTGGTTAAATTTGATAGTGTTTTTGGATATCGCATTGTTGCCATTTATTCCTGAGACTGAGTCTATCAGATTCTGTTGACGTTTCAAGTTTTTTAAATAAATACGACTAAAAATACTTGTATTTGTAGTTTGAAATTACCTTTACTGTCAAGCTATATCCAAAAAATATTATCCTTAATGACAGCTCCACGTTTCACGTCATAATTTCAACCGTGGTTAAATTAGTTCTTGCTGTTTAGACTCATGCAATTATTTATTGATTTGAATACATAAATGTTGGTACAAAGGGGCACAGAATACACATGCGCCATACAAGTCACTTGATTTGTATGTGGGCTGTGATATTGTCCGAGTGCCCAAACCGAAGCTGGTGGTTTTCTTAGAAGGCCTTACACTGAACCTTCGACCTAAAGGTCTGATCCACAAGGCAGAGGAGCAACGTCAGGACATTCAGTCCTATGGTAGCCGGCTACCAACGATTGATTTATACGCCATCTGTTCCCTCAGGATACTGGAGCCCATGTGCACCGTCGGTTTGGAATCAGAGTTTTCAAAATTCCCTAGGTGGATCATCCATATCCATCAATCCGGTTAAAGCGCCAGATATTTGCTTTCCATCCTCTCAATTTCGTAAACAATACCACTGGTGCGAGAGGGCAGTGAGTAGGACTTCCGTGGGAGTGGCTGTATACTCATTTTGAGAGGGAGAGCTGACTCTCCCTACCCTCGGCTAGACTTATGGCAAAAGAATTAGAATTAAATCACGAATGTTAATACGGCAGACATCCTTAAAACATAAATCGTCATATGTGAAATCACCTATTTCGTTCCAAAAAGCATCTTGTATAGTGTGCTTATGTAAAATGAACGATTGTTAATGACCTTGTGATTTTTATCATTTTATCAGTCAGTGTCTAAAGAAGTAGAAAGAATTAAACGAGTCTGGCTTTCGAAGAAAGCTTATCGAAATTCTAATTCCATAACTTATATGCAATCTGTTGAAATTAGTGTTTGAATTTAATATATTATTAACATTATATTCAATACACATTATAAGTATATTTTTATACATTTAAATTTAATCAGTCTGGATTACCATTTGCCTGTAAACCCGGGTATACAAGCACAGTATGGAATTGGATCGGATAAACTCCTGTTTCCTTCATCAAGATACTTTAGTAAGCAAAATCCATTTTGACAAAAATCTTGTAATGGACTGCATTGATTCGGGGGTTCTGAACAATGTGGTCCTGAAAAGAAGAAATGAAAACTTTTCTAACTTAACTATTTCCGGAAACTTATTGTCGTAGTCATTCACTATCTATCCGTTACACTAAGAAACAAACTATATGTTAAACGACGTTTCTTATGAACGAAGCAATTTGTGTAGTACAAAGATTGACCTCAAACATTACACGCTTGTAGATGATAAAACAATGTAACAATGGAATGTTGCACGAAATTGAAGTTAACAGCAGTAAAATAGAAAGGCGAATAAATGAGAAAACAAAAATATAAGACAATGTACTGGTGTAAATGTACCACTTGGCCATATTACATAACTGTTGTAGTTGTTGATGTCTCGTTCCTTATAGATAACAACTAGAAAACGTATGGTTATTCACCAGGTGATAACCAAATATGGATGAAAACACGTATGACTATTGTAACTTGACGTGATTATAAGAAGACTTATCTCATTGGATGTGGACGTGGCAAACGACAGTAATTGACCAGGACTTAAAACGTCTATGGTCCCACTAAATGAAAATTTATTTCAGGCAAATCAGTATGAGACCTAGATATTCATCAATATCAGACGAACAGCTTATCGATAGTAATCTATTTTTATTAAACTTCAAAAGCCTATAAGCAAACATTCAAATTTATTTTACCCTGACATAGTTGTGGCGAATTCTTGAAATATGCTGTTACACTTTCTAGGTTTAAGAAGATTGTGGAATGGAAAATAATTTGCATTTTTTCAACCAACAATAATCTTGTCACCATCTGGCTCTGTAATCAAATCTCATTGTGATAAATCAAACGAGACTTAGCCAAAAAGTGGCAACACCTGTTTTAAATTATGTATGAGGCTGATATATCCCATAGACCTCAAAGAATTGATGGCTAATTGATTGATCATGTTGACTTAACGCCTACAATTTAAATGGATAATAAACTTGGTTCTTGTAAACAAATAAATAATGTGTTCAAATTTGTTCTGTTCGTAACTTGATTGGGTGGAATATTTTAAGGGTAAATTATGTCTAGAAGTATAAAGACTGTTTACTCCTAAGACGCTGCACTGCTTTTGGTAAAACTAATCACTATCCAAGAAAAACTGTGCGCTATAATCTGTTACATTTCAAGTTTTAAGACATCGAGACTTAATGATGGGAAAAGTGGCGAGAAAATTTGCAGAACTAATCACAAAAGGCATTATAAATAGCCAAATATAGTCATTTAACCACGCAAATTAGTATTTTGGAGCAGTCGAAGATTTTGGTCTCTTAAAACAGCTCACTACTTATGGTCATAAATTTTAGGAGTGCTTTTATTAGAATTTGATAACATACCTGTAAAATTATGTTTACAGGAGCAAGTGTATCCAACATGAGTATTAGTACACGTTCCCATGGGGCCACATGGTGTTAATATACCACAGTGATCAACTTTGTTACATTCATCACCAAACCACCCTAGTTTTTCAGATTAGAAGAAAAGTGAAAACAAATACTGCTGACTAAATCTTGCCAATTAATGATTTTTCTAAACCTCAACTCTACTTCATAGTTATATTAGTAAAACTATGAGAATCAAACAAGGCATATATAATTTTCACTACACCTGTTCCGACGGGTTGTCATTAACTTGCTGACTATGAGTTAAACTTTAAATCTCAAATATGCTTCATGCTTAATAAAATATAACTTGTCGTTAACATAAGTATTTGTGATTTATACGCCGACAGTTCGTGAAAATATCTAGAAATGAAAGTACGGGACTTATGAATGTAGCTTATAAAGACCACATTTCACCAAAATCCATTTAGAGATCAGTTTATTTATTTTTGAGCATGAGACAGTAAACACATATAGTGCATCTGTGTCCGTACAATATTCAAACCGAACAAGTAACTATATGGCCTAGCTAGTTGCTCTGTTGTAGGATGGAGTATTCCTTTTCTAGGTGGCATCTGTTAACAAAAACCGCAGACAAACGGAGGAACTATCACTAACAGTACATGCGTTGGATAAAGTAGTGGGTTAAAATTAAAAATAATACCAATGTTTTGGAGCAACTTCTAAAGTTGGTTTCATCTGGGAATAAAATTATGAGGGGATGAGATATTTTTAATCTTAAGGGTGGAGTTTTATCAAATAGGATAAATATACGGAGATTACGTTGGATATTCAGAGATAATCTACGTAAAGACTTGAATGTGTGTTGCTTATTAAACCCTATTAACATCTTGTTGTTCGGTTATCTAAGCTGAAGTCACTCCAGAGATATTAAAGGTTTAAGAACCTCTTGGAGGTTTAACATGATTAAACACGATTCTACAAGCCTTAATGAAATCATAAATGTTCATTAATATACTTAGAGCTCCTAAAACTAAACTTGTACTGATACTAATATCGAAATAAGCTAATAATCCTTTTGCAATACCTTAAAGAGTCAGTAGAATGATGATCCGAGAACACTTAAAACCTGACATAATAATGTTGACCCTCGAAAGTTCTTACAGACACAGTTTTGAGGTGAAACTCATACAGACATCAAAAGATTTCCGATTCAGGATAACTTTCAGGTGGTGAGCGATGTTTTCTCAAAGGCAATACATCGTCACGGGCAAATATCCTTTTAGGTAAGCCTGCTCAAGATACATGATTTATTAATAAATCAAAGTCAAGAACAGAACATGCTGTAACCTTTTGGGGTTAAAACTTTACTGATAGTTTAGCCTAACTAGTAATGAATGGAAGCAATCTGAATGTCTTTAATAAAATGTTTCACACTGATCCTTTCTGAGGAGAGCATTTAAATTAACAACCCCATTATCGTATTTATGGAATTTCTTCATATGGATGAACTTACCAGGAATACACACCTTTGCACCTGTTGAAATATCACAACCATAGTGCCGTACTCTTTTTTGTGGGACGCAGTTGACGCTACAGTCACTTCCATAGCTGCCACGATTACAAACAGCCCAAACTGCTACATACATATTTATGTAATCTTGCGTTATATTTCGAGATATTTTATGATAACGGTAAGAAGAAAGGAGTGATGAACCACCAGTCTCAAATGGATACACAGTGTACATGTATGCATTATCCTCAAATGTTGTCAAATGGTCATCTAAATCAGAAAAAGAATAATCTGCATCCCAAACTTCGATCTTCAAGTACAATTTAGACTGTAAGTTGTTTAACAAAATATATGAATGTTACCGGAAGTTTGTTTATTATTCTGGACAGTGGGTTTGGTATATAGTCTATTAAATCACCAAAAGATATAGAATTCTGGTTCATTAAAGAAGATTTCGGTGTTCTCATATCTAAAATGTTGCACCCCCTGTTCGATTCTAAGTAATCTAGAAAATGGAAACTACCTCGAATTTTGATCACCTATGCAAATTTTAAAGTACAAATCACAGTAATCTGGTCTTGAGAAAGAGTTGCAATGTCCACTTGACGAACTCACTGTAATGTTAACAAACTTTAAGAATAGTGTTGCATATCCGTCTACTTGCGAAGCATTTTCAAAAACTAATTTTGGGTTCAAAGATAAAAATCTGCTTACTAAATGACAATAAAATAACCAAAGACACTAAATGTCCAATATCCATAAACTAGCGATATCATATAACAACTTGCAAACCTACCGCTTATACAAACCGTTTCTATTGAATGGTATAAACAATTTGGTCGGACATAGATAACTAATTTTTACCAGCCGACAGAAGCACAATTTACACAATCTTTTAACGCCTCCCTTTTTTGTTCATTGGATCGGTACTGCAAATAAGCTCATTATTCGTAATAATGGAATTTATCTATCTACACTTATTTTCTGTTAACAAGCCACTGTTACGCACATGCAGTAGCAAGTGAATCCGCATGATAATCAGTCTGCTAAGTTTTTGCCAGTAACTCTGAATTCGTGATTTTACTAGATACACTCGTATCTGAAGGTACTCGGTCAGCCATCCTCACCAGTTCACGTTTGATAAGCCGTTCCACAAAACTATTCACTGCATACTTCATTCACTTCAAAAAATCTATCACAAATAAAACATTTGTAGTGGTATTGGTCCTAATCTTCAGATCTGAACATGAGGTAACTGATGAAGTAGATACTTAACATTTTACACGGAATGAAAGCCAACAATGGTGAACACGGGAATATTCATGCATTTGTAGTGACTCACGTTTATCACGAGAACACGACTGGTTTAATAAAAACAATTATTATTATAACCAACTGTACCAGTGTTTGTTTTAACGTGCTTTTGTTTGACTGTGCTAATGACAGCTATTTTGTGCTTCCATTCTTTCGCTTACACTTCGATTGTAACTTCGCGCGAATTCGGTTACGTTCTGTAACCAAGGTTGTATCCTGGCACGATCTCGGTATCCTTTCGATGCCACGAGATCGCCAGCTAATAAACCTCGACTTGGTCCATTAACTGTCTTCTGATATTTGGCTTCTCGGGGATTTTATGGAGTCATTTGGAACGAGCTTCTTACGCCTTCTGATTCGCTTGGCACGTGTTTCTTGGTAGCGGTGTTCATAGTTAATCTCAACTCGACGCCACGCTACAATTGGTAATCCCAACTCGTCTACAATTGGTGACCCGTATTTTGGAACACGCCTCAACTTCTGATCAAATCTTCCAAAGAAGCCAATTCGGTGAGTCTATGATTTATCTATCCACGTCTGTCGTATATTTTCATATTTTTTAATATATAATATACGCGACATGACGGATAACGATAAGAATAGTATTAATATAATAGACTCACACGTATGTGTACCGAATCCTTGTCACTTTTTATTCGCGTGATGATGAATTCCACGCTTTATTCGAGAAATGTTACCCTATTAACGATTCTCCTCGCTGACTCGGCTGCTTGGTACGGAATGCATACGCATAAGCATATCCGTCTACCACCCAGCACCAAATGGTTAAGTTGAACGGTTTCACTGCCAACTTAAAAGTGTTCTACGAGCACACGAAAACGGCAACTGGCACGAAACCATACCGCTCGTTCTTTTAGGGGCGAGAACGAGCTTAAAGGCAGATATCCAATGTTCCGCCACTGAACTTGTATACGGCACGACATTGCGTCTGCCCGGAGAATTCTTCACACCACGGAGCAGACCTAATTTCACTAAATCAGACTACGTCCAACGACTGTCTGCATTTATGCGAACGCTGCCTCCGGTGTCAACTCGAATACAACATCGACAGGTCGCTCTCCCTCGAGAGTTATCTACCTGTTCACATGTTTTTGTACGAGTAGATTCGGTACGCAAACCTTTGCAACAACCTTACGAAGGCCCTTTTCGCGTGATCGCTCGTCACGAAAAGACCTTCAAGGTTGATTGACACGGCCGCGTCGAGATCGTCAGCATTGATCGTCTCAAACCAGCACACGTCGATGACAATGCCCTATCTGACAACCTGAGATTCAATGCTAGACCTAGCAAACCTACTAGCGGGATCCTCAAATCATCTTCAGGTCCCACGCTAGATACATCTGAGACCTCATTCTCACGTCCCAGTCAACAGCACGCGTCATCTGCGCCATCTACGGACGAGACGACAGTCTCACGTCCAGATCAGCAGACCACGCCGCTCTTGACTTCGGATGAGATTGCAGGCTCACGCGAAGCGAACGAGACTGCCGTCTCACGTTCCGATCGCCGAGTACGATTACCCGTACGCTTCCGCGAATAGTCGCACAATCAACAACCGATACGGTGTAGGATTATTCCTATACTACACGTATGCTACACTCTTCTTTTTTTGATTTTCTTTTTGTTTCCTGAGCTCACGCCTTCGACCATCTACGTTTGGTTCCGTCGACTTCAGTCAACTTTGGCGAAAGCTGGCCTGATCACCCACGCTCTTGTCAACGTACTCAGTCGATATATTGGTTTCGAATGCTTGGTCTCGAGCTTGGTCGTTATGGTCGCTTCTGGTCTTTTGGCTCAACGTGGTTTCGTCCCACGTCTGCAGCGTTTCTGGTGCGCACCCCTACGAACGCCCTCTTCAGATTCTGGATACAAACCACTCTGGTGTAGCATGCCAACTCAAGCAATACATACAGCACATCGCTCCTGGTACCGTTCTCCGAAAACGAACTTCGTTGGCAACTCGACGATCAACGATCGCTTTCCTGTTCGCCAATTCCGTCCTACAATCGCTCGTCAGCCGATCAGTCCCACGATTCAAACCGCTATTTATCGAAAGTGTGAACTCTTTCTAGCGGGGGGCTCCTGTAGTGACTCACGTTTATCACGAGAACACGACTGGTTTAATAAAAACAATTATTATTATAACCAACTGTACCAGTGTTTGTTTTAACGTGCTTTTGTTTGACTGTGCTAATGACAGCTATTTTGTGCTTCCATTCTTTCGCTTACACTTCGATTGTAACTTCGCGCGAATTCGGTTACGTTCTGTAACCAAGGTTGTATCCTGGCACGATCTCGGTATCCTTTCGATGCCACGAGATCGCCAGCTAATAAACCTCGACTTGGTCCATTAACTGTCTTCTGATATTTGGCTTCTCGGGGATTTTATGGAGTCATTTGGAACGAGCTTCTTACGCCTTCTGATTCGCTTGGCACGTGTTTCTTGGTAGCGGTGTTCATAGTTAATCTCAACTCGACGCCACGCTACAATTGGTAATCCCAATACGAATACACATTCACTCTGATAGCACTGCTCAAATTCTCAGACATGGTAATTTTGCATAACTTGTCTTGATTCATATTAAAAATGTCATCCTATCTTCGGCTTAAATGTGTTCTTCATAAACACAAATTATCAGATTGTTAATTGTTAATATACCTCGAGCCAGTGTAGGCAGTCCTGTGACTTTTATGTGTAGGCAGTCACATCATGACATATTTACAATTTTAGGATTGGGTTTGTAATTATGATCGTACTAATAACGACATAGATCATAATTCTACACACACTGCTAAATTCCTTTAATTTCGACCTCTGGTTTGATCAGCCTTGTGGTTTTCTTATTATACGAAGTTTTAGACTGAAACGGTAATTAGAACTGCTCAGCCGTGACGTTTTCACGTCGCGAGTTGCGAAGGTGAACGTTGAAACTTGAGATGACGTTCACAACTAACTTAATGCTCTCACATGACGGATTTATCCACTATATGATCGGAAAAATGGTTGCATCCACATATTGCTTGTTTAAAAACTAAAGTACTACAAGCTCGGGAATATGTATTGGTATTCGACCATAACCACACAATCCACAAAGCTGAACACGAGACCACTCAGAAAATAGATATTCAATATTTAACGCGGAGAAATGCCTAACGATGAAGAAGGCGCGAACAAGGAATTGAATGAATAGGGAGTTGTTCGAATGGCATGGCTAGACCATGCAGGCGTAGTCCCTGTTGAATGTTATCTTATATCTTTTATTCATATTAAATATATTGTTTTTTCTCTAGCCTAAGCTTGTTCTTCATCATGTATTGGTAGTTGTTACGATACAGTGAGTTGGTGTAGTCGTTGATGTGACTTCCACGTAAGATCTTATAGATTAGGCAGTTATACCATGGCAAATCTACAATTTTAGGATTAGGTCCATTATTAGAGCAGTACTAATATCATAGTAGACTATAGTTCTACAAATACACACACAATCCACACTAGCGTCCGCAAATTGACAGTTAGTTCTACATCTCCATTAGCGTGTAATGATCTACTTTTACCAAGAGAATGCGATTGGTTTAGTGGAAACAATTATTATTATAACCGATTGTACCAGTGACTGTTTTACTGTGCTCGTTTGTTTAACTATACTAAAGACAGCCTTAATACTACTCCATTGATTGTGACCTAGCACGTGTTCCGTTACGTTCGGTAACCACGCCTGTACTCCTTTGGCACGATCTCGGTATCCTTTTGATACCACGAGATCGCCAACAAATACATCTCGACTACAGACATCAACTGCCTTCTGATATTTGGCTTACGGAGGATCATATTGGTTAACTGGCACGTAGTCTTCTTGTAGTGCTGTTCATAGTCAACCGCGATTCGACTTCACGCTACAAGTGTTTGATGTTGTTGGTCTTGTCACTCAGTTACAGTGTTCCTGCATGTTTCGACAGGGAGTTTGAGGTTGGTACGAAGTGCTGTTACTTGGAAAATTAAGATATATATATGTATTATGCGTAGTGACATTTCGTACCTTTTATTCAGTGCCATTAATGAAAAATGACAGTCTCTGATAATGTATGACTATTGGATGATTCTTCCTTCTCAGAAAACGTATCACAAACACAAGGCTATCTTTGCTTCTCAGAAATATCGAATAGCATACAAAAAGTCACGGAAGATGAACCTGAAAACGTGAGTTATTTAGAACCCATCCGATTCACGAACATCATACATAGATATAGTATTCTAATTATAGTATGAATTAGGAATCCCAGGATTAACGCAATTGAATTAAGAAGACACAGGCACAACGAATGTACTGTATTTAGAATTCGAAATCGAGCATTCAACAAGTACAAAAGAATCATTAGTTAATTTAAACACCACATCCGCCACAGCTTAAATAGAATTATAAGTGTTTGTAATCGGTTGTACGTCTTCTTGTTAAGTTCATCCTGAGTC